AAAAAAAAACAAAACAAAAATTTAAAATATATAAAATAAATAATGTTTTTTTTTATGTTTTAAGGATTGGAAATGAATGAAATTGTGAAGAAATTGGCCTACTGGGTCGGACTTGAACGTAGCCCCACTCTTCAGTTCCATCTTGAGATTTCTGGGTAATGGCAGTTCCAAAGTCAAAAATAGAAGAACGAAATATCGCAACGCAACACACACAAAAAAAGAACAATGATTTGGCCATTGGAGGGCGATTTGGGCTCTGCAACTGCAAAGCAAAAGGATAAGGTATTTATTTATAAATAGATAAAAGATGGGATTATTATTACTTGTATAAAGACAAAAATAAAGGGACATTTCACAAAAATTAAATTTCCGTACCTTGGCATTCCCCCCAAAAAAAAAAGAAAGAAAGAAAAGAAAAGCACTCCACGTATATCACGTGTTTCCTTTTCCACATGTATAAATAAATAATGTATTTTATGTTTAATGATTGACTTTAATGGAATTGTGAAGGAATTGGCTGAGATTTGACACGGAATGATCACATACGTTGGATTTGTAAGATGATTGTAAATAAAGTCACACATTGACTAGAAAAAAGAATGATCCTAAGTATATATGAGAGAACAATTATCTTTATTGGTATGAGACTTTTTGGGTGGAATCAAAAACAAAGTTTTATGTAATATATGAATTAAATTTATCCAACCAATCAATTTAAGATTTTGAGTCGAGTTGTGGTTTGTTCATGATTAAAATAAAATGGTTGAATGGTAATTTTGATGATAATTAGTAAAATAAATTTAATTAGCTGAGTAGAAATGAACAAATAATTAAGTTATTAATAATATTTCCGATTTCACAAAATAAAAATAATAATAATAATATTTCTTTTGTGGTAAATTAGATGTCGGATAAATTTGTATAAAACAATTAAATATTTATTTTATAAAATAATTATTAAAACAAAATTGGGCAAATAAATGTATTAAATTTTCTTTATTTATACTAAAAATTATACTTCTTAATTTCATAAAAAAAACAAAATTTTAAATTTTAAATATTTTAATCAAATAATTAATATATAAACTATCTATTATTTATTAATCAAAAACACTATTAACAAACCAATGTTTAACAAATAAGCATTCAAAATGCACGTTTACCAAACTTTCTCCATAATTCAAACACATACTTGATAACTCATATTTAATAACAAACTTAACAAATTCAAGCGAAGTCCCGAACTAAACAATCTTCATCTATTTGCTTACATACTTTAAAAGAAAAAAGAACGGTAGGTGCTTCTTTTCTTTTATTTATTCTAAAACAAGTACATAACTTAAGAAGCTGGTGAGTCTGTGATTACACCCACCATATCCAACGCTACACATGGCTGATCAACTGGCACCTACATTTATAATATAACACAACTTTTAACACAAGTAAAAACAAAAAGATCAAAACTTATCCTAATAATTGAATTGAAGTTTATTAAAAAGCAAAAGTTAATAAATTGAATGGCTTACAGATTGGCCAGCTCCAAGGATCCAATAGAATTGGAGATTCTTATATGACTTGGTGAAGCCCTTGGTGTGTTTATCATCTCCACAAAATACAGGACTTCTCACCGTGTTCTTAAATCCCTTCAGCCCTTCCCACCTAATTATAATTAATCCACAAATTAAAAACCAAACAAAATTTATAATTTAGAAAGAGAGAGAGAAAAAAAGAGAGACTTGAGCTTTTCAATCCATGCTTCTGTTCCCTTAGTTGAAGAAAAAAGATCCACCTATAAAAAAAAAAACAAAAAAAAATCATATACATTTAAATATAATATATGTTCGATATCTGTATATGAATTAAATTTATCCAATCCATCAATTTTGGATTGAGTGATGATTTATTTATCTTTAACATGGTATTAGATAATATAATTAATAAAAATCTTACTTGACCGTTGTAGACAGTCACATTAACACCTTTGGCGAGCAACTCATCAACCTGCTCAAAAGAGAAAAATTAAAATACATAGAAATAAAATATATTTATCTAAATAACTTAAAATTGTAATTAGTTAGTTAATTAAGGGACGTACCTCGTTAATCCTAGGTTTCATATAATCTCCCATGAAAGATCGAAAGACTGATCCTGCCTGACCACCCCATCTATGCATACAAATTTAATTTTTTTTATATAGTTTTATTTGTCTCTGAATTAAAAATAATAATAATAAATATGCAATGAAAAAAGAAAGGTTTGTAATTATAGGTAGAGGTACTGACTTGAGATTTTTTGGGATAATTTTGAGTTTGTTCTTAATTTGGCCATTCATTAAGGCGGCCAACTCTCCTCTAGTTCCACTTCCAAATACTGGATCCATATCAGAATCCAGCATAAAGTTATAGAAATCCTGCAAAATTAATTAAATACCCTAATTAAAACTTATACCAACACATTTTCAAAAATTAAAAATCAAAAACCAAATTTTTTTTTCCTCTCTCTTTTCTTGAGTCCTACATTTGTAGGTGCGAGATCAAGAATAAACTTCAAATTTTTTTTTGTGAATTAATAACTTTAATTGACATAATAATAAGTGTTTTATCTATTGAAGTAGGCTCGGATTGAATCAAAATAAAAAATTCTAACATACCACACCGTTGGTACTCGTGGCAATTATTGTCCCAAGCTCCTCCCACAAAAGGACTGCATTCTTATAATTTCCCACTTTAATTTGCTGACTGATCTTCAAAGCTTCCCTGTTTTTCTCAAACAACTTTATTTAGCTAGCTTTTAATATATAGAGAGAGGTTAAATTATTAGATTAGTCCCTAACTTTTAAATTGTGTTTGATTCTTGTATGAAATCGGTTCTTATATTATTTAATATTTTTTAAATTATCAAAGTATTAGACATAAAATTAAATTTTGTACCTAATAGAGACTTATGACACATAAAATTGAAAGTTGAACAACTAATTTAATACTTTTTAAAAAACTTTTAAAATTTAGAGCATATTAGATATGAACATCAAAGTCGAAATACTGAATTTATAATTTAACCACGTATTTATTACATTCTTTTTCGTATATTCAATAAATAAATATTGTAAATGGACAATATAGAACTAAAAAGTGAAAAACACTGACCTGTTTGAATTCTGCAGTCCAATACTATCAAGCCGTGAGAGGTCTTTCAGAAGAGGGCCCCACGAAGACTGCATTTTTTATTTTTATTTTTTAAGTTTGAGATTATTGCATATATATATATATTATTTTGAGATTATTATATTTATATCTATGAGGATATTTAAACTTATTTTCAAAATGATGGTAATTCGAAATTTATTTAAAAAAATAATGCTCTGTAAAGTTTATTTCTTGAACCTAAGAGCTCAAGATCGGTAATACAGTGGTTTTGAAGCCACCCCACTAAATTAGTATTACTCTGTAGAAATGGTATATGTCAAATGGAATTTTTAAAATATTATTTTTTGAATAATTTCTGAATTAGTAATATTTCTAAAATAAAATTTAAAATGAATTATATCTAAAAAAAATCCAAGAAAATTGCCTATAACGTGTAAAATAATGTGGCGGAAATTAAAATAATTTTGGACGGACAAGATTGAGAGAGAGGGAATAGGAACCGTGTAATCTTCCGGGGAAATCCAACTGTCTCCTAATGCCACTCCTGTAAAATTGTTCAAATTTGATTCACCATGTTTATAGATCGAGAATTTTGAACGAATTCCATAGAAGAAAAATTCTCATTAATTTATTACAACTTAATCGATCTCAATCTCATTCTTTATTTCATGGGCATCACACATTTCAATAATTACTTTATATTTGATATCATTTTTATATCATCAATTAATGAAATACATAACTTTTTTTTAATCGTTTTATATTTTTTTTATACAACAAATGGTGGTGGGGTTCGAACTCATGACCTCTTAATCAGAAATAGGTACCTTAATCACTTCAGTTATGCTCGATTTGACTTAATTGTTTTATATTAGATTCATATTCCGATTCCAAACAACGTCAATTAATTTCTCATTCCGAATTCATAAAATTTATCGTAAACAATCTTATTCTAACTAATTTCATTACGATTCTCGTAAGTAAAAAGGTCTAAACTCTATCGATTTAATTGAGTCTAAACATATATTTAAAAAATTAAATTAACTTGTAACTTAAATGTACATCATTGATACATCTTGGGTATTCACAAATTTTTATAACTTTAGTATTATATTAGATATTTAACATGTTTATGAGTTGTAAAATTGAAATTCATTCTTTCCTCCTTCACAATATAACAAATATCGAGCAATGTAACATTTAAATTGCAAAATATAAAATTATAGTTCATAAAAGTAAAACTATAGGCTTGCATATTTAATTTTGGATTGTACATAAATTTAAGCCCACCAAGAAGTATGAAAATGAATTAAAAAAAAAAAAAAAGTACCTTTGAGATTAAGCTTTAATTTGCCATCTTGGATGGCTCGAAGGAGGGAAAGTGCAAGAGTGACCGCGAATTTGGCCCCATAAGACTCTGCCATTATATAGAAAGGACTGTTTTGTAAGTCGACAATGTCGTTTGAGATCTTCACCAGCAGAGTCGTCATGTCGGCGGCCGCATCCTCATCGCCTTTGGCAAATTCCCCCGTATCCTCCACGTAGCTGTATCCCGACCCAACCGGATTATCCTATTTTGTTTTAATTTTAGAATCACATTAAAATTTAATAATTAAATAATAAAAACAATAATAAGTTAATGGAAATGGAGATTACCACAAATAAGAGGTCAGCTTTTCGCAACCAAGTGGAGTTTCTTGGCTTCAAATTGGTGTCCAGTGGCCCTATTTCTACAAAGTTCCCCATCCCAACTCCGGACTGGCCCTGTTTTTCCATCCAAATTATAATAATTAATAATAATTTTAAAAAATATATAATTTATTTTAGATAAATTGCAATGGGTAGAAAAACTTTTTGTGCAAATTGCAAAAACAACCTTGAAATATGGTGGTCGTTACAATTACACCCATAAACTTTCAAAGGTAAAAATTAAATCATCGAACTTTTATAAATGAAAAATTTAAACCCTCAAACTTTCAAAAGTAAAAATTAAACCCCTAAACTTTCACATAGGATAAAATTGCACCCTCTAATTCAAAAATGGTAAAATCTAAACCCTAAAATTTTGAAAATTTGTATCTATTTGACAATTTTAATTTTTTTTTTCTGTTCATGGATATTTGATTTTGTAGACAAGCGGTAGTTCACAAATGGGAATATACTCCATCATTCATTAACTTGTGAGGGATTTAATAGAATCGTGGACATTATTTTCCATTTCAGGGGTGGTTTTTGTAATTTGCCCCTAAACCTTTTTATGTATTTCAAAATATGTCATTTATTTTAAAAACTTTCAAATATAGCAAAAATTTTAAGTAGTATATCAGATACTCAGTAATATATCCATAATATATTAGACACTCATATCAATAGTATATTAAATGTATATCACATATATATTGTACCAACATTCATATAAGTAGTATATCTACGAGGGAAAAAAAAAACCACTCACTGGTCCGCCTTGTAGCCAAAGAACGGTTGGCCATGGCTTGGAGGCGTGGTCGACTCTGAAGGGGCTTCTGTAATGCCACCAAAACATATGGGCTTCTGAAGAACACAATTCCAATCGAATTTTAAAAAATAAAAAATAAAAAAAAATATAAATAATGTTTTCATGTCTCAAGGATTGAAATGTGAAGAAATGGGCTTACTGGGTCTGACTTGAACGTAACCCCACTCTTGAGTTCCATCGTGGGATTTCTGGGTAATGGCAGTTCCCAAGTTCAAAATAGAAGAACGAAATAACACAACACAACACGCACACAAAAATAACAATGATTTGGCCATTGGAGGGCGATTTGGGTTTTGCTAAGTGCAAAGGAAAAGGAAAGTGTATTTATTTATAAATAGATAAAAGATGGGATTATTTTTGGTTGAGATTTTTTTCTTTTCTTTAATTCATTATATATGGATAGAAATACAATAAATATTAGAAAGATATTCGATCCTCCAATTTCAAGAAGAGTTATGTCATTTCGCTTTATTTATTATAATGGTTATCTTTCCCGTGATATTGGAAAACTAAAAGTAGTTTTATATGGTGCCACCCAATGTATACTTCTTTGTCTTATTAGTTGCTAGTAATTTTTAATTATCGTGTAAGTTTTTTTTATTTATTTTTGCACTGTGATCCACGCGGTGATTACAAGATTCTTTTCTTCTCTCTCTTGTATTTACAGTCACTTAACAGCATTCCACGTGCATCACGTGTTTCCTTTTTCACATGTAAACTTATTTTCTCAGTGCAGCGATTAAGTCACTGTTACTATCATTTTATTGTTTACAAAGCTTTTATTTAAAGGGGGAAGAGTGTACCTTAATGATAATTGATATATATCTTCAAACAAGAATTTGTGAGTTCGATCCTATATTCTCACACGTTATATTAAAAAATAAAAAAAAGAGTTTAGTTTCTAGATTAAGAGAAAATATATTACATTGTAAAGTGTTCTTAAAATTTTTTAAATACAGGTTCAGTAACTTTTCCTTTGTGTACTTATTTTAAACTACAAATTTAAATTATATCTTGCATATACATCAGTGTTTAACTATATATTCGTATGTGATCTTGATATGGGATATGAGAACGAAAGATGGATTTAATCCATGTTTTTTACGTGGAAATACGGTCTTACTTTGAAGCATTAGATATTGTAAAAAATATTTGATATACTATAGTTGGGAGAAATTTATGGGTATGGATCCTACAAATGATGTTGGAGGATACATTGTACTAGAGAATGATGAAGACGCGTTGTGGATTAGTTGACAGGACTATAGTGAGTATTCCTTTAGCCATAATGAATACAATTTATCAGGAAATGATAAATTATTGAAATTAGAGTTAGGCATGTTAGTTTAACTCGTTGAACGAATTTAGAGATGCTATAAATGATCATGGTGTGAAAAGAGAATAAAGTATTTTAGATCGGTAAAAAGTTACAAGATTATTAATACACATATATAATGATACATGTACACAATTTAAAGTTGATTACATATACAAACTGAGGATCATTGATACAATTTGGGTATTCACGAGTTTTTATAAATATCTCAAATGTGAGAGAGTAGTATATTATGTATTTAACATGTTGTAAAATTGAAATTTAGTCTTCCTTAATGAAATATAACACACATCAAACCATGTCATATTTTGTACTATATAAAAAAAAAGCAATGTAACATGTAAAATATAAAATATACAATTATAGTTCATAGAAAGAAGGGGAAAGAATACCTATCTTAAAAAGATGGGATTACCGTACCATGGTATGGGATGTAACGGGACAATAATACCTTGTTTTATGATTTGATTCTACAATTTTGGTTGAGATTTTTTTTTTCTTTAAATTCTTTAGGTACGTAATCTCCATAACCTCCAATCTTACAAGAAGAAATTGAGTATCTAAAGAGTAGAGTAATACTCAAAGTAATACCGTTACCGTTGATTAAGATGGTAACAAATTTCACTTTATTTATTATAATGGTTGTCTTTCACGTGATACTGTGAAGTAGATTTATTTTATATGATCCCACCCACTAAGTATATTTCTTTGTCTTATTAGTTGCTAAGCAATTTTTAATTATTGTTCAAGTTTTTGTATTTTTGCACTGTTTTTTATGTGAATGGTGGTGTTATATTCCATGAAGTGATGAAATTCTTTTCCTATAATCCACGTGGTTGTTACAAGATTCTTTTTTTTCTCTCTCATATTTGCAGTCACTTAACATGTTTCCTTTTTTTACCTGTAAATTACCTTTAGGTTGTTTGTTAATATATATTAATTACCGTTTAGCTATACTCGCTTTAAAAGATTTTTTCAATATCTCAATGCAGTGATTAAGTTACTGTTCCTCTCATTTTATTGTTTACAAAGTTTGTAAACGATATTGTCTTATTGAGAGCTTCTGTTAAAGAAAAAAGAGTTTACTTTCTAGATTAAGAGAAAATATACGTATTGTGATTACACCCACCATGTCCAATGCTACACACGACTGATCAACTGGCACCTATGTTTATAATATAACACCACGTTTAATACAAGTAAGTAAGTATGCATGTATGTATGTATATATATTTTTATCCCAATAATTGAATTTAAATTTATTAAAGTGCAAAATTTAATCAATTGAATTGCTGACAGAGTGACCAGCTCCAAGAATCCAATAGAAGTGGAGGTTCTTATAAGATTTAGTAAAGCCATTTGTGTGTTTCTCATCTCCACAAAATAGGGGACTTCTCACTGTGTTTAGAAATGCCTTCAGCCCATCCCACCTAATTATAATTAATCCACAAATTAAAACCAACCATAACTTATAATTAAGAGAGAGAGGAAAAAGAGAGAGACTTGAACTTTTCAATCCATGCTTCTGTTCCTTAGTTGAACAAATAAGATCAACCTATAAAAATAGGTTTCATATCAGTATATGAATTAAATTTATCTAATCCATCAATTTATGTTTTTCGATTGAGTAATGGTTTATTCATCTTTAACATGGTATTAGATAATACAATTAATAAAAATCTTACTTGACCGTGGTAGACGGTCACATTAATATCTGTGGCAAGCAATTCATCAACCTACTCAAAAGAGAGGAATTAAAATACATAGAAATAAAATATATTTATTTAAATAAATTAAAATTGTAATTAGTTAGTTAATTAATGGACATATACCTTGTTGATCCTAGGTTTCATAAAATCACCCGCAAAAAATTGAAAGACTGATTCTGCCTGACCACTCTATCTATGCATTCTGTTGATGCGTGGATTTCGGTCTTCCGGTTCACTACCTCGCATCCACCAAACTTGTTGATCCGGGACTAGTACCTGCAAAATCAAATCGAGCTAAACCGGTGTGACTCTAGTCACACGGGCTCTGATGCTTAAGTTAGCAAGAGAATAACGTAAATGTAGTCAACTCTCTTCCCCCCATACCTCTAAGGCTGGATCAATACTTATAGCGTGAAGTTGTTCCAGAATCTTCCGTAGCTAACCCTAATTCACCGTTGCAGGGCCTGGGCGACATCGTCGATCGAAGACGGGGGATCACTGGCTGGGCCGTGGGCCGAGCACGGCTAGGGATCGAGCCCCGGGTCGGGACCGAGCACCGGGTCGGGGCCGAGCCCTTCGTGGCTCAGTGGGCTTCCCTCTGGTTGCTTTCCTCGTTCTCTGCCCCGGCGTTAGGTCACTCTTTTGGCCAGCTCGTTATGTCCCGGGCCGGTCTTCCCCAATCAGACTTCAACTCCTTGTCTCGTTTCAGGTCATTTTCATTCTCCATAACAATGGCCCCCACTCTCAAAACAGAAGACGAATAATTGTGTAATGATCTTTGTTTTGAGAGTACTTGTCGCTTTGTCGTTACCACGAGATCATTGTATATCAGTGGCTAAAAATGGGAAGGTTGCTAACGCACAGGGCTTCTACCAAAAGCTTTTGATCCAATTTTGGATCTTAGTGCTTGGTTCCTGCCACTGGTTTTGTACCTTGAACTTGTCGATACTATTCATGAATTGGAAGTTTTTCCAATTTTCGTTGACCATAATCAAGTCTCTGAGCCTGGTTTTATTCTCATCTGAGTTTAAACCATTTTGGCCTTGAAATCTAACTTTAACAGAACTAATGTCGATACCTTTGGGTTTCTAACCTATTTGGCTTTTGCCCATGTTTTATACCTCAGGGTTTACTCTCGGGTTTCTAACCCACTTGGCTTTTGCCAATGGCCTTTATACCCTGAGTTTAGTCGGTACCCTTAGGTTTCTAACATATTTGGCTTCTGCCGGTTTTTTACCCCCAGTTAAATCAACACCCTCGGGTTTTTAACCTATTTTGGCTTTTGCCATATGATTTTCTACCCGTGGGTTTCGTTGATCGGTTAGG